ATGCCATTATAATATGTTTAGAAAGACATTCAAGCAATTGATGAATAAATGGAAACCACCTACAGAAAGAGAGGGAGACCAATATAGAATTTAAATGATATATTTGTTTATTATTATACCATGCGTTTTCCCAAGGAGGTCTAATCCTTCCTGCCTCCTCAGTTGGAGACCTGATATTAGATGAGCATGAGAAGGTCAGCCAAAGTTATACAACAGGGTTCATGACTCAGTGAAGTTTAGCCTTTCTCATCCTAGTACAGAAGTTCCTATCACCCCAGGCTCTCTAAACATCATATAACCTTTATTGACCCAGTGTAATGTTGTGTACATTCCTGGGAGCGCTCAGGGGAATGAAAACTGCCCAAAGACTAAATCTCATGATAATCCTAGCTCGCTCTCCTTCGGTTTTGGTCTAGAATCAACAGCAGCAGAACCAACATCAGCAACAAACAGGACCTCAGCAGCAGCAGCAGCAGCAAGCAGCACCTCAGCAGCCACAGCCACAGCAACCGCAACCACAAGCAGCACCTCAGCAGCAAAACAGCACCCAAACCAATGGAACTGCAGGGGGTGGTGGAACAGGAGGTGGCGGAACTGGGGCAGGTCTCCAGCACAGCCAGGACTCCAGCCTCAACCAGGTGCCTCCAAACAAGAAACCACGCCTTGGGCCTTCAGGCACAAATTCAGGCGGGCCTGTCATGCCTTCAGACTATCAAGTATGTTTTTTTTTCCCCCGTCTTCCTTATATCTTCTTTGGTTTCTTTTCAAGGATCAAGGGGAAATGAGTTAGGAAAGGCTACCATGGGATGGCCTGTATTAGAACTAGGATGCTTTTTATGGGCCCTGCTCAATTTATGAATGTATGTCTGGATGGATGGAGGCACATATTCCTGCATTTGAACAAATTTATTGCCACTTTTCAAGGTAAATCTTGCTCAGGACAGTTTTCAAAGTTTGGGATACAGATATGGTTAATTAAAACAATAGCCTTTTTTTTTAATTATAAGAAATAGATCCAGTTCAGAGAAGTGAAGCTTTTTTCATATATCTTTGTGCTGAAAATACTGTAAAGTTTCACAGGTAAAGTTTACTGTAAAGTGCTGTAAAGTTTCACAGGTAGCTACAGGTATAAAAGAGACAGTAATTCTATATCCCTTCCTTGCCAGCCATTTGATCGGCAAAGTTGTTGGATCAGTTCCCATAATTCTTAACTAGCATGGAGCATGATGAGTGGTTATTACGTAAATTGAAATATAATGCCTGTGGAAGGTAGGCTGCTGTATCCAAACTTGCAAGCCTGAGTGGAAAATTCAGTCTGGTCATTACAGGTTGATGGTAGCCGTCCCTTTAGTTACATGGTGTAGTATTCTCCTATGACACTTTTCGGTGCCTGTTCCCATTGGGCTCTGTGCATCATCTCTAGCAAACATATGACTTCATTTGGCCATAGTAACTGCAACAACAGTCATATAAAACATTCATTTTATGAAATTAAGATTTATTAGTTGTCACAAATAGTTGTGTGTGTGTGTGGGTGGGTGTATTTTCATTAAATGGAAGCAGTGCTTTTGTAGGAAGTTAAGGCTGAGCTGTCAGTACATATATTCAGACCTATCAAGTCCTGCATCAAGCTGTTTCCTTATAATATGCATTGAACTGTATGAATCCCATTCTTCATTCCCCTTTTCAGAATTCTCTCAATGCAGATTAACCACAGCTGTTTTCATTATATTTATCTAGCTACTTTCTTCCTTGGATGGCTTTAATAGAAAGTGTCTCTCAATGACACACCACCTTTATTTCATTTAATAAGCTACATAGATAATTTGTTTTCTGTATTTAAGCATGCTAATACCAAACAGGCTTTCCAATTGGCATTTTATGGAATGGAAAGGATTTCCTTTTCTTACTGATTTGCCTTTGTGGTTGATTAAAATAATCAATGTTCAATAATCTCATTCAACGCATGGATAAGATACCAAATTATAAATTAGAAGAAAAAGGAGAGGAAACCTATATCTTCACATTCAAATCAAAGGGCACAGATAAGTAACCTATAGATCATGAAGCTAAGGATGAAAAACCAGAACCCATTAGTGGAGCAGGGTTTAGGATATGTTGTGCAGCTGCAAAAAAACCCCAAGAAAGTTAAAAGTCTGTGTTAGGAGCAGGAAAACTGTTTCTGAGAGTCAGGAACTCAAAGGAGTAAAGAAGAAAGAGATTATGCCAAGAATACCAAACATTAGTTGGACTGATTGGCTGTTAAGCAGCACATAAGGGCTTCACTGAAAAAAAAATCAATAGGTCCAGAACAATAACATTAATACAGTTAATGCTACTTTTGATTGGTTTAATTGAAATATAATACAAAAACACAAAGAAATCTACACCTTCTCCCATCTCAGTTGATTTCCCATTTGCAAGTCACAAATGCACACATATGTACTTTCTTTCCTTCTCTCCCTTTCTCTCTTGTTCTCTCATATCACACACTGATCTACCTTTACTTTATTTAACCCAGCAGTATTATGACCTCCCCCCTGTGAAATACAATACAATACAATACAATATGTCTGTAAAGAGTACAAAGAAGTAAATATTATATGTATTACAAATGTTCCTCAAAATTTCCTTTTTACCTTACTCAAGGAATTTTTTTCTCATTGCTTCAGTTTCCAGAACTTCCTCATCTCTACTGAGGGATGGTAGATAAATTGATTAGAGGATTAAAACACACAACATATAGGATGTCACTAAAATTGTCAACAATGCCTTATACAAAGATTTTGCTTCACACAGTTAGCTGTTTAAAAGTGCAAATCAGAATGTAGTCTCACCTTAATCTAGAATTATCTTGGACCTTGAAGAGTCCTGCCCCTTTAGCTCAAGGTCTGGTTAGTTAGCTCGCACGCCAACAGTGGGTACGGTTAAAATATCAGTCTCTCTGCATGCAAGTCTGTGAAAGAAGATGTGTTTTTGAGGCTCTGGTTGTACATAGATTTTGAGAAGTTCACTAATACCTTGCTTATCCTCACTGTCAAATCCAGTTTTATGAACTCAGCTTTGAATATTATAGCATATATTAATACTAAAAAGATTAATATTAGCAACTGGCTTTTAGTTATCCAACCTAGGTTTTCTCTTACCAGGAGCAAAATATTCCATAAAGCAGAAGTTAGGGAGAGGGGGAAAGATGGACATGCCAGTCTCATTTCCCTACTCACAATAAATCCATCCAAGGGAAATGATAGAGACCTTGCTGCAATAACACGTTATGCCCATGCCCCCACCCACACCCCTTTTGTTGCAGTTCTGCTCCATAAAAACATTTATTTTTTTGCTTTTTCTGTAGCACTCCAGTTCACGCCTGAGTTACCAAAGCAACATTCAGGGATCTTCTCAGTCCCAGAATACAATGGGCTATTCAACATCATCTCAGCAGAGTTCTCAGTACCATCCGTCCCACCAGTCTCATCGGTACTAAAGAGACTTCATAAAGGGTGTTAGAAAGGAATGAACTAACAATGAGTGGACTCCAGCAATATGAAGTTCATAACCATGAGAAGAACCAAAAATGCAAATTGTGATGCAGATTTTAGAATTGCAAACTTTTTATTTACTAATTATTTTGAGACAAGAGACAGTTCTTATCCTTTTTTGCCATAAAGGAGATTCTTGTGAAGTTTCCCTTCAGCTTGCTTTCGCATGTGTTCCATTGTGGTTACTCGAATGAAACTGTCTGATCTGAACCAAGCACTTAAACTTCTTTAACCTATGGAATTGTTGAAGGATTCCTGGTGCACCTTTCTCGTGTTGTAGTAATTGCCATAAATCTAACCTTTTCCAAATCCTTTTACCAGGATTTTAAATTTTTGGAATCTTGAACTCCTGGGCTTTTCAAGCTTGTATATAGTTAATTTTTTTACTAGGCAGACCAGTTTAGCTATACAGGTATAATGCACCTTTTAAAAGCACTATGTTATTTTCACAGGATATTACTCTTTTGCTCATGGATGTCAAGAACAGCAGATTTTACTATTCCAGAGTATTTTATTATCTTTTTAGTAGTCTAGTTTTCAGATGAGATCTTTAAAAAAAAAAGAAGAAAAGAAAAATATACAACCCAAGTCTCTGCAGCAGCTATTACATGTTATGTGTTTGGATTGAACACCAAACAGAAGATTATGAATGTTTCTTTTATCATTCAGATGAGCATCCCATAGACGGTTGGTCATTTTCTTCCAAGTGAATTGACTGGAGCTTTGTTTTATATTAAGGCATGAAAGCAAAGCAGAAGACATCTACTTCTGTGGCTCCAGTAGAACAAATGGTTGCTATAGTGTCTTCTTTAGTGGTTATCTGTTACCTGCAGTGGTGTCTTTGCTCTGTGTTGAATCTCTACAGTTGGAGTTCGGCATCAAATGGGATAAAGGGCAAAGGAGGCTTTGCCACTACTTTGGGGAGGCTGGGTAGAGGGACAAAGTGTACTCTAATATATATGTACATCTTTCATTTGTTTCTAACCTAGACCTTGGTTAAATTTTGATTTTGAAACTTGCAGCAGAAACAAACAAAATGTGCTGTGGCACCTTAGAAAATTAATAATTTTGTTCTTGCATTAGTAGCTGCCTGGATGCAGAAGACTTGCAATCATCAACCTTGAGAAGCCATTATTGTTGTTGTTGCTGTTATTCCTTCATTATCCAGTTAAAGCAGATCAAATATTGAAAAAGGAGTAGTTGAACAATGTATTGAAGTTGCTTGGCCTTCTCATGTCGTTGCGTCTGATGTTGTTGTGTCACTGAGGTGATTGATCCAGATTAGATGTGATAGATAAGATATGCTATACTGAAATGTTTGTTATCCTAAGACAGGTATAGACTACATGCTGTCCTTCCAGGGTTTTGGACTATAATCCTTGCCATTGGCTGTGCTAGTTAGAGCTCATAAGAATGGAAGTTCAGGACATCTGGAGAGGGGCACTAGGTTGCCTGTCCCTGCCCTAAGATCTGACACTGATTGTCCTGAAGAAATATTGTGATCCTGGACAAGCACTTCACATAAAAAATATCAAAGCTTATGAACAGATCCTATATATTGGAAATTTGCTGCCTAATTACTAGGCTGAAGTATCTGTGAACCGAAGCAACATATACTATGAAGCAACTCCTTCCCCCATCTATTTTTTTAAAAGAACTACATAAATAAGGTGGTGCGCTTTATTCAGAAATTTATAATTCATCATAGAATTCACCATATTGTGACTTTTCTTCTTTTTAAAGTAGATTTTCTACTTTTCTATGTATGAAGATAACTTAAAGTAAGCATTGCTTAGTTAACATTTTAGAATGTGGGGGAATGAAACTGAATAGGGTTTTCCAGGGGTAAGGCTTCAGTACTCAATAATCAGTATCACTTCCCCATGACTACTAAAAGTGGAATAATTGGATATCAGTGCGAATTTGTGTTACTTGTACATGCAGAATTCAATTTCCTTGTGTGGAATTTGGCTCACCATGGTGCAGAAGCTTTTTAAGCACACAAGGCCCTAACTTTATTGCACTAAATGTAAAAGGGTATATACTTTAGAGTATATAAGCAGCACTCAGTATTTTTAAAACAATTATTAAAAAACAGAGGTGGAGGAAGAAACCAGGTTATATAAGCATTTTATGGGCATTTACACTGCACAGCGTAAGCTTATGCCTCATTGTTTTTTCTTCTGAAATGTTATAATAACCCCATTAGCAAAAGTAAAAACTTCACTAAGACCACAATACAAATTAGATAGATTCACTTGCTTGGAAGGGAAAATTTGATTCCAAGCATACCAGAGGTGTCCTACCCACGACTGTAACTCTTCTTATATATGCCTTGTTTTATTTACTGTTGATTTCAAGTGGTTGTCTAATGACAAATTAGTGGTCATGGAAAACTTAGTGAAGAAAATAACAAGTAATCTATTTGAGATGAAATGTAACTGGATCTTTCTCCCCCCGAAAACTTTATTTTTTGTAATACCTTGCGCATCATGTGTCTAAACTAGTTTTGTTGGATGGAGTTTGCTGTCTTCCATATGAGTCTTCAGTGAAAACATTCCTCTTCTTTCACACACCTCCAGTTTTATCCATGTCTTACTGCATTCAAGCTAATGTCTGATCAGCAGCTTAGAATGTTATAAATTTTCATTTTGACCAGCTTATGAACAACTAATTTTCTTTTTGCGATTCCAGCCTTCTCCTTGTTGCAACTGCAACTATTGTGAGCTCTGTCAAAATATAGCTTCCTCTGTGCATGCGGTGTGATAACCTGTGTTGAATGTGCTTTATCTCCATGAGCTTCCAGTCCCCTAGAATGATGGCCATGATTATTCTCTGTACCAATATATTTGCATTTTTGCTGGAAAATAATGGCTTGCTATGCTCCATTTCCCTGCAGCGTCTGTGCATACATATGTAGCTGTGCTCAATACTTCATGGCCTTCCAAATAAGCATTGACAGGGGAATAGATGAAAGTATAGGTTTACACTTTTGAAATGTTTACTGCACTCTTTCTCTATTTGTATCTTGGCTTTGCGGCATACTTGGCCTATTAGGGTGAACTATTTGTGTATAATATAATGAGTGTCTCATGTATTGCAGGGCTAAGGTGAGCCAAGGTGAGATAGCTTTGTTTCAGGGGAAATTTCACAAATCAAAATACATTGTATAATAAATCATATGTTGTATGTCATGGAAACACAGGACACAGAAACGTTCATAACTGTGCAGCTCTGCTTTCATCTAGAATTTTCACTTTGCTATCTCATTGGCTCTCGGAAGTGGACATCGAGTGATTGACCAGTTTTGCTACCCTCATTCTGCAATGCTTCTCTTCTGATTTTCAAGGAAAAGGGCCAAGAAAATAGGATTAGCAAAGCAAGGATGAAATGAATTGGAACACAGACTGCATAATGAAGGAAGAATCATGTGAAAGCTGCAAGTCCTGCACTGTATCTGTGACACTGTATCTTGTGGGGTGGGAATGGGGTGGGGAGGTTGGGAGGACATCTTGTGGTTAGGGAAGTGGAAGCTTGAAGTATTTGATTATGTATCATATTTTATATAAATGTAATAAGCTTAGTTCCCCTTCATAATCTTCAGTGATGGTACTTAAGTAACATTAAGTAAAGATAACTGTTTTAAGACAAAATAAACATACTGTATATAAGATCATGTGTAATCTATGTTTTGCCACCAGAATAATATGTATTGCTTTATGGGGGGAAAGTCCTTTAATGCACTGTTATCTCCTAAATATTTAGTAGTAAATTAATTCTATTTAATTTTTTTAAAAAATATCTGTCTTCTGTAGACACTAAAAAGTATTACACAATGTGGACTGAAATGGTCCCTTTTTAACAGCAGTTTAATAATGTTTTATATCTGTAATTAGTTTGCTTTTCCATCTGTTTTATTTGCTCATGTATAACTATTTGTTGAAGATTGTCTGCCTTCAGTTCTCTTTTATACATTATTTCACATATTCATTTTCAGTTCTTGTATTTGTTTTTATTATATACTTTTGTGTCCTCTTTAATGTCTCTTCAGGTCATCAGTAATAGTCTATGTCTACCGATGTATTTTTTGGCTGTTGAGGATGGATGGATGAATAGATAGACAGACAGATAGATGCAGTAGATATTTCGACTTCCCCAGTCCAGAGTTGTATTTTCACTTGTTAAGATTCCATGGCATGCTTACACTTAAATGGGGATAATTAGAACATCGTGTTTTACATTAGTAAAGTTTTGTTTATGCAACACTTTGTTCTCCTTCCTTTGTGCCCCCTCAGTCTTTAGACGGTACCCCAACCGCTCCATGGCGGAGGGAAATAAATTCTGTTGGTGGGAACAGTTTCATCAGCAGACAGATGTAAAGGGATATAACTCTTGGTATGAGTCTATGACTTAACTTTTTAAAAAGCATCTCCAGTCTCATTGTTTAATACACACAAGACCCTTCCTGCCCCTAACTTTAATCTGTGAAGTTCCTTTTACTCACTATCAGCAAGTATTGATCTCAATTGGCTGTCTCATTGTTAAACAAGAAGAATAGTAAGCTAGTTACTTAGCAGTTGGCCAACATAATTTCCAAACTTGGACTTGCTTAAGTAGTGCAAATGAAATAGTGCAGAGATGTCTAAATGGGGAGTTCAATTCCTAATGCCATCCAGGTCAATTTGCCATTCCTGGCTCTGTTTAATAATTGGCTTAAAATTTAGAACTGCTGTGCTGGGCATTTGCAACTAGGAGAATCCAGTGAACTTTGCCCTCATTGAATATTTGCGCTTTTTAAAATGTCCTTACATTGCTCTTGACATACTGTTAAAAACTATGTTTTCATTCATTACATCTGCAGTATTTTAATTTTTGTTGTAATTATTTTGAATTGCTTCAGTGTGAATTTTTTAATAAAAATAATATACATTTGTAATAATAAAAAGTTTGAAGTCAAGCAGGTGTGTGATGGGAAATCTGTAAACGTTGGGCTGCAGGAGGAATACAAAGTGCAGTTTTATTTACAACCTTCCCCCTCTACTCACACACCTCTCAAGAGCTTTACATGTCCCCCAAAATGGCATGAATCATATTTTTAGAAGTATTTGTTCTAAGTGAAGCTTTTTGTGCAATCAACTGTAGCCAATGGGAACAATACAATTACTCTTAAGCTGATCAGAATAATTTACCACCAGAAAACAATTATGATAGCTATATCCTTATGGCAGCAGCTCTATTATTGTAAAGGGCGAACCTGGGTAAATTGAGTGTGGCATCTCTTACAGTGATGCTTAAGAGTTTATGAACCCTTTTGAAATTTCAGTATTTCTGCATAAATATGACCTAAAATATGTCTGTTCTCCACACAAGTCCTAAAACTAGATAAAGAGAACCCAATTAAACAAATGAGTAAAAAAATATACTTCAATTATTGAGGAGAATGTT